CTGCCCCTAGGACAACATAGCTGTCAATGGTGGTACTTTCACCAAAATTACATTTTTAATCCTTAACCAGATTCACCCTAATCAAAGAGGTGGTGACTGGAACAGAACGCTTTTACAAATGGAACTTAAATGGATACACCTATTAAATGCCACACAATTTCCTTTCCTGGAGGGCTTTGTGTCAGGGAGCATGGAAAAATGATAACAGCGTTCCTGTCTTGCCAACATATGTAATGTGTCTATTTCAAGAGGTCTCTGTACACATTTTATGCAGTATATACTGTATGTTTCATCGTAACTATTTCTATGTGAGCCTATGGATATGTTTATAATTATGACCTTATGTAATGACATCATTGTGATTACTATTTTTCTTTTTTGTTCTTTTTTTCTTTTCTGTTATGTGTATTCATTGTTTTCAGATGTAGTTCTTGCCACCCGTGCATTTCCCCTTTTTGGCCAGATGGGTGTTTTTTTTTCTCCTCCCCTGACAATTTTTTCCATACTCACTATTCTTTGGGGGGCATTTGGTGGATGCCCAGCAAGCACAGGCCACCTGGTTACTTCTGGTTTCCTGGCGGTCGTATTTGGGAATGAATACAGTGATGGGCCCATTTCGGCCCATTTCCATCTTCCTTCTTCCTCCCATCTGCTACTTCATTCTGACAATGCTGTTTGTGATTGCATGCTGATGGGTGTCTTATGCGTGATGTCATTCCACACCATGGATGTAGTGACGTCATCATGTCATTCCCCGCCTGGTAATGGGATGGCGACATGTGCAGGGGGCCTAATTAACTGTCGGCCTCTACAATTACATGACCCAGGTGTCTTCAATGAAGGCAAATATTTTCCCATATAACATGCTGATCTGATTGCACTCCTTGCATTATCCTTTTTTCTGCTGACCTGACATGATGGACTGTTTGCATCTCCCTAGCTTGGTGAGTGACAGGAGTACTTCTTTGTGTGCTATATCTGGGAACCTTTCTCTCTATTCATGTAGCTATTGGACTCTTGAAGATGTGGCTGTGTGGTTACAAGCCATTTGCAACAAGTACTGTTGTCTCTCTATACATCTATATGGAATATACAATTTATACGACAAACTTTGGAATATATACAGAATATATTGAATATAAAATGTATATGACAGACTGTGTTTTACTCCCACATCAATCTCTCTCTCTATATATATATATATTGCTACTTGCAGGCTACTTTTTCACTCCCTTGAAATCCTGACCATCAAGTTTGCTATACGGACTGATATGATTATAACTTTCAAGAAAAGGTTTTTTCTATACATATACTCCAATTATGTTGCAGCCTTTTTTTTGTATTTCTCTTGTCTGCTGACATGACATGATGGACTGTTTGCATCTACCTAGCTTGGTGAGTGACAGGAGTACTTTGTGTGCTATATCTGGGAACCTTTCTCTCTATGCATGTAGCTATTGGACTCTTGGAGATGTGGCTGTGTGGTTACAAGCCATTTGCAACAAGTACTGTTGTCTCTCTATACATCTATATGGAATATACAATTTATATGACAAGCTTTGGAATATATATGGAATATATTGAATATAAAATATATATGACAAACTATGTTTTACTCCCACATGAATCTCTAAATATATATTGCTACTTGCAGGCTACTTTTTTACTCCCTTGAAGTCCTGACCATCAAGTTTGCTATACAGACTGATATGATTATAACTTTCAAGAAAAGGTTTTTTCTATACATATACTCCTAATTATGTTGCAGCCTTTTTTTTTGTATTTCTCTTGTCTGCTGACCTGACATGATGGACTGTTTGCATCTCCCTGGCTGGGGGAGTGACAGGAGTACTTCTTTGTGTGCTATATCTGGGAACCTTTCTCTCTATGCATGTAGCTATTGGACTCTTGGAGATGTGGCTGTGTGGTTACAATCCATTTTCAACAAGTACTGTTGTCTCTATATACATCTATATGGAATATACAATTTATACGCAAGCTTTGGAATATATGCGGAATATATTGAATATAAAATGTATAAGAAAAACTGTGTTTTACTTTTGATGTATATTGAAAGTGTCAAGTTTTTTCTATACATGCACTCCTAATTATGTTGCAGCCTTTTTTTTGTATTTGTCTTTATAATGAGCTCTTTTGATTAGGTTCTATTAGCTATACATATTTTATTTACTGATGATATTTGCCTGATGAAAGAGCTCACCTGGACTCATCTCGTCCTGCACATGCTCAGAAAAGCGTCGCATTTTGATGACGTCAGACGCCACATGTGCTGATCCCGGACATCTTGGAGACTCTGCCAGGCTTCACCATCTATACTGCATATGCACAGCACCATCTGCTGGCAGACACCTTGGAGATTCCACCAGGCTTACCATCCATGTTGCACATGCACAGCACCACCTGCTGGCGGACTAAATCGTTCTCCTCTGGATCAGTCACACAACAACATCTGGCTATAGACGTCTCACCCTCTTTCCCATGAGCCTGTTTTTAAATTCTAAGATGTGAGTTACTACTTATCTTTCTATGAAATACCTTCACAGTACACACTTAGAGGCTCTGTGTTTCTTTGTTTTCCTTTGAATATTTTATTTGCTGGGCTGACGTCTATTGGCCTCAGTGGCCACCTATGCACTGCACAATATTTCCACCTGGGATACATGGCCACTTAGGTGGTACTGATCACTTGTTTTTAATATACAAGGGTTTGCATGGTGATAAATGCTCTTTGAACTGTAAGTTATTTGCAGAAATTTGCAATATTATAATTTGTAAGAATATGCAATTTTTTTTTACCTTTGTTAATCATTATCTCATAATCTATTATACTCTAGAGATGTTATATCTTCCAAACCCCTGGGGAAAGAGTGTTCTATTTCTGAAATGTGTCAGGTGAATGGAGATACATCACAAGCCTGATTCAACCATTGAGATCTTTTTGCATTATATTTGTCACAAATTGTGGTGAAAGCCATCTTTGATTTTATGAATCTTTGTGTAATAAAATATGTTAAACTTTTTTACCTAATACTTGGAGTGTAGTGCCTTTAAATTCCCATACTGGGGAAAACGATTTTTATATATGTTAAAAATACAATTCTTGATTAAATATATACATTTATAAAAATGTAATTAAAAGTTTGGAGTAAAATGGTAGCAATCAATGGCATCTCTTAAAGTCTACCATCCTGGAGGCAACAAGATTATATGTCTGACAAATTAGTAAATGGAAAAGAAGTCATCATGGTATACAACAGAGTAAAATAGGATAGTAAATAATATATGCGGTACAAGAAAACAGAAAATATAGCTGAAAGAGAAGTGCATAAAAACAGACAAAGGGAAGGCCAAACATATATTATCATATATTATACTACTAAAGAACAGAAAGATGAGGAAATGGATAAATCCTTTAAATTAGGAGACAAATTATTTTGGTATATCAGTGACAGGAAAAATATATAACATGAGATTGCAAAATTGAGAACTGGGTACAATACTTATGTTGAGGGAGACCTCGGTTTAGTAAATCATTCAAACTATTACTTTTGTTCAGTCTTCTTAGAAAGTAAATGATACTAACAAAAACAAGTTGGGTATATCATATTGGTTCCAGTGGTGAATGTTCACTTTTCAGGGTTTCTAAAGGCAGATGAACTGGCGTGCTTAAAGCTTATCAAATTGGTTGGTCCTGATGGTATTCATCCAAGGGGTCAAAGAGAACTTTTATTTATATTTATTGGTCCATTAAGTAATCTTTTTAGTTAATCTCTTCTAGCAGCACAGGCTCCCTTTGACTGGCAAACAACGTATATTGCACCTAAAAAGAAGAATCAATGATCATTTAAAAACACACAGCTTGCTGGACTCAAAGCTGCATGATGTTGGATCAGGGTGCTCTGTAGAATAGCCTATTTTGGTTTTAAGAAAGCATGTGATACAGTTCAAAACAATGATCTCATAAAGTTGTACAAGCTTATACTAATACGGTTCTAAAACCACACCAAAATTGCAGGACCTCATAGAAGCTTTCCTACCTTATCAACTATCTCAAAGGGTCCCTGCCATTTTGCAAAGAATTTTCTCTCATCTGTTGGCACCACAACAAGCACCTAGTTATCATTTTGAAATTCTCTGACCTTGGCAGACAGATTGTACAACCAATTATGGGCCTCTTGCACAGCCTGCAAATATTCCCTGACTTTTCACATCATATCAGTTATTTGATCCTGAATTTGTTCAATGTGTTTCTCCACACTTCAAAAGGACATAGCTATGTCTCTTTAACCACAGCCAGCAACCAACAGGGGTAGTTTTGAAGATGTGTCCTCCATATGTTAAGATACAAGGATGTTTAAAACATGCAAACAAAACAAAACATGCAAAAAAAAAAAACCACGTACAACATCTTGCCAGTCTTTACAACGTCTTTAACCACCTCCTGCCCACCATATAGTAATATGATGGATGCAAGGTGGTTCTCTTGTTCTGGGAGGACGTCATATGATGTCCTCCCATTCTCACCGCACATGTGCGGCTCAGGGAGCGCGCAGCACGGCGATTGGCGATGCGCTGTGTCCCTCGGACACAGCGGATCACCGATCCTTGGAAAGAGCCGAAGATGTCGGCTCAGTCATGTGATCAGCTGTGTCCAATCACAGCTGATCACATGTAAACAGGGAAATTCTGGTTATCGGCATTTCTCTCCTCTCGAGCTGTCACGCTGACAGCTCAAGAGGAGAGGAGAGTCGGTAATCGGCTTTCCGCTGAGGGGACATGTACACTGATCATCAGGGCACTGATGATCAGTGTGCCCTGATGATCAGTGTAGCCCTAGCAGCGCCACCTGTCAGTGTCCATCAGTGCCTTGTGTCAATGCTCATCAGTGCCTCGTGCCAGTGCCCATCAATGCCACAGCAATGCTACATATAAGTGCCTACTAGTGCCCATCAATACCACATATCAGTGCCCATCTGAGCTGCCTTTCAGTGTCACCCATCAGTGCCACCTATCAATGCCAATCAGTGCCACCTATCAATGATGCCAATCAGTGCCACCTATCAGTGCCAGTCAGTGTTGCATATAAGTGTCAGTCAGTGCGCCTATCAGTGCCAGTCAGTGTCGCCTAACAGTTCTGCCTATCAGTGCCATATATCAGTGTCATGTATCAGTGCTGCCTTTCAGTGCCCATCAGTGATGCCTGTCAATGCCCATCAGTGCCACCTACCAGTGCCTCCTCATCAGTGCCCATCAGTGCCACCTATCAGTGTCAGTCAGTGCTGCCTATCAGTGCCAGGCAGTGCCGCCTATCAGTGCTGCCTATCAGTGCCATATATCAGTGTCATGTATCAGTGCTGCCTTTCAGTGCCCATCAGTGATGCCTGTCAATGCCCATCAGTGCCACCTACCAGTGCCTCCTCATCAGTGCCCATCAGTGCCACCTATCAGTGTCCATCACTTCAGCCTCATTAGCGCATATCAGTGAAGGAGAAAAATCACTTATTTACAAAATTTTATAACAACAACTAAGAAAAAACTTTTTTTTCAAAATTTTCAGTGGTTTTTTGGTTTCTTTAAGAAAAAAAAAACCCCAGAGGTGATTAAATAGCACCAAAATAAAGCTCTATCTGTCACAAAAAAATTATAAAAATTTCATATGGGTACAATGTTGCATGACCGCGCAATTTTCATTCAAAGTGCGACAGTGCTGAAAGCTGAAAATTGTCCTGGGCAGGAAGGGGGTATAAGTGCCCTGTAGGCTAGCGGTTAAAAAAAGGCAGACATGTCCTTAGCTTTAGCACAGATTTAAACCCAATACTGTAAACTTGCCACTTTGGAAAGTCAAAGACAAACATGTTTTTCAGTAAAATCCAGGCTGTAAACAGCTTTCCTCTTTTCACATACCGCCACACCCCAAATGTCTCTCTGACCTAATTTTTTTAATAGGCAGATCTATAGTTGGGGTGTCTAGCCATCAAAATGAATGCCCTCTTAATTCTGCGTCGAGCTGGATCTCTACAAATGGTTGCATGTCCACAACTTAAACACATCAGGTGTATTTAGGCGATACATTTACAGTAAAAGCATAACATAATGCAAGTGTATAGGTTTACTCGTGTATTTATCTTGTTGTATGCTTCTTTTATTTATACTTTGAATGATGTATGTTTTAAACAAGCTCTGACATTTTATGAAAACATGCAGAGAGTAAATGTTCACAACTGAATGTTGCTGTTCATTTTAAAGACTACTGTAATTCACCAAGTAACCGCAAGAATATATTTGATTTGTAGAATGTCCTCAAAAAAAGTCATTTTTTTCACAGTTGACGGACACACAGAACAGGTGATACGGCAGCATAGGGCATCAGAGTAAATAACAACAGGATGATTGGTGGTTCGGGCACAGACAAACCAGTCCTAAACTGTGTCTAGGTTTCAGTCAGGTAGAAAGGGCACAAACTTAAAAAGAAAAGACAATCTAAGTAAAAGTATAGTCCAAACAATTTAAAAAAGTATTCTGTGACATGCTCCAGCACAGGGTAATATTCAGAATTCTGCATTAACTTCCCTGATTAAGGAAGGTGTGCACTACAGAGACCTGAGCTGCAGTACTGAGTAACTTTTAAATTTTCTTAACAACCGGTAACCTCTAATCTGCCAAAAAACAATTATGTGTTCAATCCCTAGACCCCAGGATATTACTTTCTCCCCAGAAAGTCCAAAAAACAAAAGTCTCTCACAGCGTCTATAAAGTGAAAAACCCCTCCAGTCGTGAAAAATTCTCATTCTTCTTTTTCAGTGTTCTTCCATGCGTGATTATTATTTCACCTTCTACTTGATACCCTAAAAATATATATATATATAAACACACATAGTACATTATCCTCAATATGACCACAGCTATCTTTAAAGAATCGCACTCAGAAAATGTGTAGAAAATCCGTGCTTAACCAATCCACCATGTGTTTACTTCTATACGTCTGTAATTCTTACTCTTACCCTCTATATATTTAAAAACACCTTATGACAGGTTCCACTGATAGAGCTGTTTCAATTCACAGCTTCCTCTTTCTGTCCTCCCCTTCCATAGGAGATATACAGTATCCTCCAAAGAAAGTTATAAATAGTGTGATACCATCAATAACTCAAAAAGGTGTCCTCTCATGCTCCACTCTTAGATCAATTGTGACCACCACTGACAAGTGATATATCACTCCACACCTCACAGACCATGCACCTTACCATACTAAGTCAGCCAAAAAGCTTGTTGGAATGTCCTTGCATATTCCAATATGTAGATCGAACTACTAGGCAATTGTGCCTGAGACTAAGAGAACCTGATTCTAATATAAAGAAAGTAAAAAAGATCATAACTTGTCTAGACATTTCAAGGATGCTCATAGCTGTGATATCTCCCAGTTAAAATTTTGTGGGATAGAAAGAGTAGATGATCAATGGAGGGGTAGCAATAGGACTAGAGAAATCTCCAGAAATGAAACTTATTGGATTTGTGAGATAGACACTATGAAACCCAAGGGGCTGAACGTGGAGTTAGATCTTAATTGCTTCATATCGGATTTGTGAATACACTTTAGATAGGCTTCAGCTATTTCCCTTGCTTTCCTTTGTAGTCCCATTTAGCAATTTTGACAATTTAGATGGTGGTTATAATATCTATCTAGTAGTAAAAATATATAATTTATGAAGTTTTATGGCGTAGTACCTTCCCCTGTTAATATGCTATGTTAGGTTTATTACTTTATGCATTGTGGTTATTTGCTAATAGCTGGATTGATTTGCCTTGTGCACCATCTACCTCCCTTATACATCTATTATTAGAGAGCATTTTGTAGTTTGCGATATTATATTAGAGCCAAATGATGTTCATAATACAAGCTGTATGAGCTCTTAAATAGGTATGTTCCTCTGGTTTACACTTTGCATAGGTCTGTAGTTATAAGTTATAGTAATAATAATAACAGAAATGAAAATAATAATAGTGTATAGTAAGCGCTCATATACAATGCAAAGCAGCTGAACATATAGGAAAACACATAAAAGTCCCAAAATACATAAATAAAAGAAATGCAGCGCTCTTAAAAAATAAGTAAATAATATTAAACACAGTCCGGTGAAAACAGTGCTCCTTGTTTCCCAGTGCAAATGGTAGAATTTCACACTAACCAGAACGCGCATAGGTAATGCGCATGTGTATATATATATCCTGAAGATCCTCTCTCCACTTGAGTCTGGTCAGGTATATGGCTGGGAAGAATGGAGATCCTACGCCCTCATGTGGTGCCCTTTGGAGGCTTACCCAGATCGTTACTGCTCTGACCTGCCGAATTACTTCTCACCACATGAGGGCGTAGGATCTCCATTCTTCCCAGCCATATATACCTGACCAGACTCAAGTGGAGAGAGGATCTTCAGGATATACAGTCATGGCCGAAATTGTTGGCACCCTTGATATTTTTCCTGAAAATCATGTATTTCTCACGAAACGTATTGCATTAACACATGTTTTGCTATACACATGTTTATTCCCTTTGTGTGTATTGGGACAAAACAAAAAAAGGGAGGAAAGAAAGCAAATTCGACATAATGTCACACAAACCTCCAAAAATGGGCTGGACAAAAGTATTGGCACCCTTTCACAACTGCGGATAAATAAGAATGTTACAAGCATGTGATGCTCCTGTAAACTCACCTGGGGCAAGTAACAGGTGTGGGCAATATAGAAATCACACCTGAAAGCAGATAAAAAGGAGAGACGTTCACTTAACCTTTGCATTGTGTGTCTGTCTGTGCCACACTAAGCATGGACAACAGAAAGAGGAGACGAGAACTGTCTGAGGACCTGAGAACCAAAATTGTGGCAAAATATCAACAATCTCAAGGTTACAAGTCCATCTCCAGAGAACTAGATTTGCCTTTGTCCACAGTGCGCAACATTATCAAGAAGTTTGCAACCCATGGCACTGTAGCTAATCTCCCTGGTCGTGGACGGATGAGGAAAATTGATGAAAGATTGCAACGCAGAATAGTCCGGATGGTGGATAAGCAGCCCCAAACATGTTCCAAAGACATTCAAGCTGTCCTGCAGGCTCAGGGAGCATCAGTGTCAGCGCGAACTATCCGTCGACATTTAAATGAAATGAAACGCTATGGCAGGAGACCCAGGAGGACCCCACTGCTGACACAGAGACATAAAAAAGCAAGACTACAGTTTGCCAAAATGTACTTGAGTAAGCCAAAAGCCTTCTGGGAAAACGTCTTGTGGACAGATGAGACCAAGAATAGAGCTTTTCGGTAAAGCACATCATTCTACTGTTTACCGAAAACGGAATGAGGCCTACAAAGAACAAAACACAGTACCTACGGTAAAATATGGGTGGAGGTTCAATGATGTTTTGGGGTTGTTTTGCTGCCTCTGGCACTGGGTGCCTTGACTGTGTGCAAGGCATCATGAAATCTGAGGATTACCAAAGGATTTTGGGTCGCACTGTAGGGCCCAGTGTCAGAAAGCTGGGTTTGCGTCCAAGATCCTGGTCTTCCAGCAGGACAATGACCCCAAAATACGTCAAAAAGCACTCAGAAATGGATGGCAAAGAAGCGCTGGAGAGTTCTGAAGTGGCCAGCAATGAGCCCAGATCTAAATCCCATTGAACACCTGTGGAGAGATCTTAAAATTGCTGTTGGGAAAAGGTGTCCTTCCAATAAGAGAGACCTGGAGCTGTTTGCAAAGGAAGAGTGGTCCAAAATTCCGGGTGAGAGGTGTCAGAAGCTTATTGATGGTTATAGGAAGCGACTGATTTCAGTTATGTTTTCCAAAGGGTGTGCAACCAAATATTAAGTTAAGGGTGCCAATACTTTTGTCCAGCCCATTTTTGGGGGTTTTGTGTGACATTATGTCATATTTGCTTTTCTGCCTCTGTTTTATATTTGTTCCAATACACAAAGGGAATAAACATGTGTATAGCAAAACATGTGTTAATGCAATACCTTTTTTGTGTGAAATACTTGATTTTCAGGAAAAATATCAAGGGTGCCAACAATTTCGGCCATGACTGTATATATATACACATGCGCATTACCTATGCGCGTTCTGGTTAGTGTGAAATTCTAACCATTTGCACTGGGAAACAAGGAGCACTGTTTTCACCGGACTGTGTTTAATATTATTTACTTACTTTTTAAGAGCGCTGCATTTCTTTTATTTAATAATAATAACAGGCTATGATCTGTAGTTTATCTATAGAGATAATGAGTCCGCTATATAATTAATATATTTACTAATGGGCTCTAATTTAATTTAGTTTATTCTCTCCTTTCTGTATTTGTCCCCAGTCATTAATTATATTAATATCAACAAGCTACGTTATGTAATTTATATAGAGAGTTCACCATGTATACATTTAATATATCACTAGATGGCTGCAGGGAGTGACATTGTCAGGTATTTTAT